CAGGTCTGGAATGGCTGGATGTCTTTTTCACGCTCTCCCTGCCACACGTCTGTAGCTGCCACAGGCGACACGCGGATTTTCTGTCTGCACAGCCATTGTGCAAATATGATTGATTACTTTATTCGAATAAAATAAAGTGGGAGAGTACTGGGAGGGAGACAGTACTGAAATCCAGTTGCACATCTGTTTGGTAGCATCTAGCCTGGTTTTCTTAGCAAATAAATTCCATTATGTGATGAAGCTGCCTTGATTGTTCCCCTGGCAACTTCCGAGTGTTGGCCATTTTCGAAGTATTAATTAGGATCAAAGAAGATCCTCACTTTCTAGACGTTTTCTGAAAGTCTACGGGCAGCTGTAGAAATTGTCATTGTGCCCACGCTGAGGAAAACACTGCACCGTGAGCACGTAACAGACTTTCATAACACAGTAGAGAACCTAAGGCAGAGGGAGAAAGAGAAGTTACGAGCGCCTTAATTGGGGGAAGATACGAGTGCCTTAATTGGGGGAAGTTCCTCGGTTGGACTGTGTACCTAATTAGACATCAGAGAATCCAATCGCAAAACTCAAGTCCATTGAAAACCAGTATTGTCAGTTCTGCTGCTTGTTCGCTCAAAGCACCTTAATCTTCCATTGCAATAATCCTCACCTAGTGGGAGCCAGGGTCAGGTCTACCACGTCAGCGTCAAGGAGAGGTTAATGTTACCGGGGCTTCCTTCAGTCTCCTAAAAATATCGGCCATGCAGAGCGGCAGGCTGAGCTGTGCGGATTGCACATTTTCCTTATGTTAGGACACGCGTTCTTGTTCTCTTTGTGTCATCAGGTAGACCTCTTGACACACTAACCTCATCACAGATAAATGCTTTTAAAGTTACTCCTTCTCCTTGGGCTTCCCTGATTCATACTCACTGGCATAAGAAAATAACCTGATCTGCCTCCCTTTCTTATCCCGACTTCCAGGAGGCACCAGTGCAAGAGGAGAGCATACCTACGGCCTTTCATCACGCTAACTGGCGGTGGACCAGTCAGCCTCTCTTGTCTCTCACCAGTAACTAATGACCAAGCGTGACCGACTGGCTGTGTCAATTAGAAAAGGGAGTGGAATCTCCCCGTAGCCAGAAAAGTCTGGCCAGGAGGTTGGGCTGATCCCGTTTGCAGAATTCAGCTAATTGCCCAGGGCATAATCCTTGAAAGAGTTCATTCCTTTCGGATGATCCTGAATTATTTTCCTCTTAACTTTGTTGAGAGTCATCTAAAAGTGACAGCATGCATCACATACTCATAATTTCATCTGCCTCCTAGTCACAGCCTTATTAAAGATTATTGTATTGGCTCCAATACAAAGGAATAGTTGCAGGATATTCTGAGCACCAGTGCAAACAGCACGAGGTGTTCTTGTTTCACAGGGACAGAGACAGAATAAAAGACGCTCATCTCACTTTTTATTGCCTTTTTTTCTAAAACATGGTCCTGATAGTACTGCTCAGAGCGTACCGTGACAGAGCCAGATGTGTAGGGTTAGCCTAGCACAGCTTAAAGGGAAGTGACTGAGCAATGCTCCTGGGCACATGAGACATTTTTTCGAGGTTTCGCACATCTCGAATTTCCTCTCGCTCTGTTGGTATGGTGGGTATTTGCACAAGACTTTCCCAAAACTCCAGCCTGGGCTAAAGGTCAGGCCAGCTGTTGAGGAGTTTGATATGTCAGAGAATGAAGACATTATAGCCCATCAATAAATGTTCTTGTGAACGTCAAACAAAATGGTTAATTACATCACAGGAAAATGACTGAGCAAGCAAGCTTTTTCATAAGCACTGCAGATGTTACACATTTGTCAACAGCCACATTTGCCTAACTGAAGAGTATTTCCTTTTGGCACGGTGAAGCAATCTCAGAGGTTCTTCACCTCTTTCTGCAGCGAGTTTCTCCTTCCCCGACACATCATTATTTCATTGCTATGAGCCACTCAGCGCTCAGACCTCCCTTTAACAGCAATATACCTCAACAGCTTATCTGCTGCATTAATGCTGAATCATGTTATAATTCACAGCAAGAGCACTCAGTGGCAAATGAATGTACGTGAATGAATTTTTCCTAGTTGAAGAATAATAAAACAGATTGCTTTGAAAAGCTGTATCGGCACCGGGAGGCGGTGCCAGGCCCAGGAGAACATGGGCACGTTGTCCAGTTGATTTTATGAGCCCTGACAGATGAAGTTCCAAATCCCACAAACGCCCGTCCTCCGGATTTTGAACATGACTGTTCTACTAAAAGGATGGAAACTTTTCCGGTCCCAAGACGCATAGCTTTACTTGAAGGTAGCCTGTTGTTTGTAAGGCCCTCTCGATTATTTCTTATGAGATCTCCCAGTGGGGACAAGAAAGACTAGGAAGCGGCTTTCCCGATGTTTGAGAAGGCGGAGGCAAGTAATGCAATTTAAGATCCTGTTGCTGGAGTTGATGGTTTGAAACCCACGGGACCGAAGGCCCACTGAGGAGTTTCCCACTGAATGGGGAGGTTGTTACTGCTGTTTTACCACTTGCATGTTTAATGGCCAAACTAATGTTATCGTCGATGTTGCTACGTATTTCATTTAGCTCATTTAGCTCCATTTAGCTGGACATAAATTCCTGCTATTCCTGCT